CTGAGCCAAAGGCAGATGCTTAACAGACTGAGCCACCAGGGCGCCCCAACAAAAATGATTCTAAGAGGCAAGTTTAGAGCAGTACAGACCTACCTCAAGAACCAAATAAATCTCACCAAAAAACCTAACCTTACACCTAAAGGAACAAAAAAAAAAAAAAAAAAAAGGAACAACAAATAAAAGCTAAACCCAGCAAAAGGAAGGAAATAATAAAGATTAGAGTACAAATAAATTATAAACAAACAATAGAACCAAAAAACCAAAAAACAAGAGAACAGATTAATGAAAGTAGGAACCAGTTCTTTGAAAAGATCAAGAAAATTTGATAAACTTCTAGACAGACTCAGGAAAAAAAGAAAGAGAGAGAGAAAGAGAAAGGACTCAAACAAAATCACAAATAAGAGAGGAGAAATAACAAGAAACACCTACAGAAATAACAAGAAACAGTTGGAAGAGAATATTATGAAAAATTATATGCCAACAAAATGTACAATCTAGAAAAAAACGGATAAATTCTTAGAAACATATAATCTACCAAAACGAAATAGGAAGAAAGAAAATGTGAACAGACCAATAACCAGCCAAGAAATTGAATCAGTAATCAAAAAACTCCCAACAGGGACACCTGGTGGCTCAGTTGGTTGGGCGGCTGCCTTCGGCTCAGATCATGATCCCGGCGTCCTGGGATCGAGTCCTGCATCGGGCTCCTTGCTCAGTGGGGAGCCTGCTTCTCCCTCTGCCTCTGCCTACCACTCTGTCTGCCTGTGCTCATGCTCTCTCTCTCTCTAACAAATAAATAAATAAAATCTTTTAAAAAAATAAAAAATAAAAATAAATAAAAAAACTCCCAACAAACAGAAGTCCAGGACAAGATGGCTTCAGGGCCAAATTCTACCAAACATTTAAAGAATTTAAATCCATTCTCTCAAAATTCCAAAAAATAGAAGAAGGAAGACTTCCAATTTCATTCTATGAGGCCAGTATCATCCTGATACCACAGCAAGATAAAGACACCACAAAAGAAAGAGAACTACAGGCCAAATCTCTGATGAACATGGATGCAAAATCCTCAACAAAGTACTAGGAAACTGAATCCAACAATATACTAAGAAAATCATTCACCACGATCAAGTGGGATTTATTCCCAGGATGCAAGGGTGGCTCAATGTTCACCAATCAATCAACATGATACAAGAAAGGATAAGAACCATATGATCATTTCAATAGATACAGAAAAAGCATTTGACAAATACAACATCCAGTCATGATAAAAACCTTCAACAAAAGTCTAAAGGGAACATACCTCAACATAATAAATGTCTTATATGAAAAACCCACAGCTAACATCATCCTTAATGGGGGAAAACTGAGAGCTTTTCTCCTAAGGTCAAGAACAAGACAAGGATGTCCGCTCTTACCACTTTTGTTTAACATAGTACTGGAAGTCCTAGCCTCAGCAATCAGACAACAAAAAGAAGTAAAAGCCATCCAAATTGGTAAGGAAGAAGCAAACTTGTACTATTTACAGGTGACATGACACTATATATGGAAAATCCTAAAAACTCCACCAAAAAACTACTAAAACTGATAAATGAATTTGGTAAAGTCACAGGATACAAAATCATCATACAGAAATCCGTTGCATTTCTATACACTAGTAATGAAGCAGAAGAAAGAGAAATTAAGAAAACACTCCCAGGGCGCCTGGGTGGCTCAGTGGGTTAACCCTCTGCCTTTGGCTAGGGTCATGATCCCAGGGTCCTGGGATCAAGCCCCGCATCAGGCTCTCTGCTCAGCAGGGAGCCTGCTTCCCTGCTCCCCTCTCTGCCTGCCTCTCTGCCTACTTGTGACCTCTGTCTGTCAAATCAATAAATAAAATCTTTAAAAATAAGAAAAAAGAAAAAAAAAAAAGGAAACATTCCCATTTGCACCAAAAACAAAAAAAAAAACCTAGGAATAAACAACCACAGTGGTGAAAGACTTGTACTCTGGAAACTATAAAACACTGATCAAAGAAACTGAAGACAACACAAAGAAATGGAGAGACATTCCACGCTCGTGGATTGGAAGAACACCATATTGTTAAAATGTCCATACCACCCAAAGCAATCTACAGATATAATGGAACCCCTATCAAAATACCAACAGCATTTTTCAGAAAACTACAACAAACATCCTAAAATTTGTATGGGACTGCAAAAGGCTGTGAGTAGCCAAAGCAACTCTGAAAAAGAAAAAACTGGAGGCATGATGATTCCAGACTTTAAGTTTTATTACAAAGCTGTAGCGATCAAAACAGTAAGGTACTAGCACAAAAATAGACATATAGATCAATGGAACAGAAGAGAAAACCCAGAAATAAACCCACAATTACATGGTTAATTAATCTACGACAAAGCAGGAAAACAATAGGAAATGAGAAAAAGATAGTTTCTGCAACAAAGGGTGTTGGGAACACTGTACAACAACAGAGACCACTCTCTTTGACCACACACCAAAATAAACTGCAAGTGGATTAAAGACCTAAATGTGAGATCTGAAACCATAGAAATCCTAGAAGAGAGCAGACAGTAATTTCTCTAACACCAGCCACAACAACATTTCTCTAGATATGTTTCCTGAGGCAAGGGAAACAAAAGCAAAAATAAACTACTGGGACTATATCAAAATGAAAAGCTTTGGCAGAGCAAAGGAAACAATCAGCAAAACTAAAAGGTAACTTACGGAATGGGAGAAGATACTTGCAAATAGTATCTCTGATAAAGCATTAGTATCCAAAATATATAAAGAATGGATACAACCAACACCCAAAAAACAAAACAACTCAATTAAAAAAATGAGCAAAAGACATGAACGTTTTTTCCAAAGAAGACATGCAGATGGCCAACAGACACACTGAAAGGTGTTCAGCATCACTCATCATTAGGAAATGCAGATCAAAACCACAGTGACGGGGCGCCTGGGTGGCTCAGTGGGTTAAAGCCTCTGCCTTCGGCTCAGGTCATGATCCCAGGGTCCTGGGATCGAGCCCCACATCAGGCTCTCTGCTCAGCAGGGAGCCTGCTTCCTCCTCTCTCTCTCGTCTGCCTCTCCGCTTACTTGTGATATCTCTCTCTGTCAAATAAATAAAATGAAATCTTTATAAAATAAAAAAAAAAAAACCACAGTGACGTCATCACCTCACACCTGTCCGAATGGCTGAGATCAACAACACAAGAAACAACCAGTGCCGTTGAGGATGTAGAGAAAAAGGAACTCTCCGTGCACACTGTTGTGGGAATGCAAACTAGGTGCAGCCACTGTGGAGAACAGTACAGAAGTTCCTCAAAAAATTAAAAATGGAACTACCCTAAGACCTAGTAATTGCATTACTGGGTATTTACCCAAAGAATGCAAGAATCCTAATTCAAAGGGATACATGCACCCCTATGTTTACAACAGCATCATTTACAACAGCCAAACTGTGGAAGTAGCTCAAGTTTCCATCAACTGATGAGTGGATAGAGATGTGGCATACACACATACACACACACGTGGACATGCACGCACACGCGCATGCGTACACACACACACACACAGAGGAATATTATTCAGCCATAAAAAAATGAAATCTAGCCATTTGCCATGACACGGATGGAGATATAGAGTATTATGCTAAGTGAAATAAGTCAGTCAGAGAAAGACAAATACCATAGGATTTCCTTCATAGGTGGGATTTAAGAAACAAAACAAATGAGCAAATGGAAAAATAGAGAGAGAGGGAGACAAACCAAGAAACTGATGATCACCAGAGGGGAGGTTGGTGGGGGTAGGTTAAGCAGGTGATGGGGTTAACGCGTGTACTCATCATGACAAGCTCTGAGTCACGTAGAGAATGGCTGAATCACTGTATCATACACCTGAAACTCTTAACACTGTATGTTAATGGTACAGGAATTGAAATTAAAAACTTATAAGAAAAAAAAGGAAGAAGGCGTATTCCTGATCAATCCATAGGAGTTTACCATTAATTTTGAACAAGATTCTGCAGTTATCACATTCATTCTAAAACACTTTTCCCTACATATTATTTACTTAGAAAGAAATATATTGTTTTATTTACATACAAGTACCCTGGGGACCTAATTTGTGTAATTTTGTAATTCACTCTCCATTGTTAAGACTGGCAGACGATTTCATCATTTCTGCCAAATCCAGGTCACATCCCAGTTCTCCGCGGCACCAATGCCTAGAGGCTGAGGCACCTTTTAAGTGGGACATCAGATAGCTAGTTGAGAACTACCTAAACTCACCCAAAAATAATAAATGACACCAATGGCTTCTCGAGATTTGCTCATAAGGTATTTAATTAGCCCTGATGCCCCATAATGAGAATTATGAAAAAATTATTATAACTGTCACAATATTATTATAAAAATCCATGAGATACATATGTGCAATGAGCTTCATTACTGCTGTTAGAAACTCCTTCCTGTCCACTTCTTTTTTCACCTAATATCTCCCTTCCCACATCCTAGGGCTGCCTCTCCCTATCCACTCACCCACTGTCAACTTGATTCACACCCGCAACCAGTCCTGGGGTCAGTTTCCATTCTAGATGTGAAGCCACTGGTCATCTCTCCGGCTTCTCCTCTCCCATAGCCAAGAGGAAGAAAGGATTGCTGTGTTTCCTGCAAACGGTAAGTCACATGGCAACCCTCTAGTGCCTTGGATAATTGAGAATTGACTCCCTCGTCACCAAATGTTCTCTCCTTTTAAATGCCTTATTACCTTCCATTTCAACCAGGGGCCCAGCCGAGAAACCATCCGTCAGTGCCCATTTGGCCTGGTATCAACAGGACAGGAATCTCTCCTACTAGGCCTGCTAGAACTGCACCCTCCTGACTACAGACCTCAGAAAGCAACCATGAACTCTTGTGCCCAACGGACTCTGAAGGACATCTCCCCACATCCTGTGCTTGGCATTTTCTGGGAGGCAATGAGACTTCACCTCCACCTACCAGCTGTCTGGAACCCGATGATGGCCGGTACGGAGCGTGTGGGAGGAGCAGTGGAAATGCTCATGGTGTAGTTGGTGCCTTGGTGCAGATCTAGGCACACTTCTGGGGTCCTGCTTTCTGTGGTCACGTTGACTGTCTCCTCATGAACTGATTCCATAGAGTACAACCGTTGTCCCTTTATGTATATCTTTGGCGGGGGGTGGGGAGAAAAAAGAACCCACTGTGACTCTGGTGAAAACAAGGGAGAGAGACTGAGAACTGAATCCCATTGTCCTACTATTTCCTTTAATCCCACACTGTGCTCGTAGGGGAGATGAACGAGGTCAGCCTCTGCTATCAGGTATCAAGGCAGATCAGCCCAGTTACCAGTGAACCCTAAGAAGTGACATAAAATGAGGAGTCCCTCTAGGGAGGGTTATGCTGCACGCAAAGGACCAGCCGTCCATGGAGGCCGTCACACCCTGAGAACCACTCGCTGCCTCCTGTCCCTGAAGCAGCAGATGCTTCTCCTCTTCTGGGGGCGTGAGGTTCGAGTGCTGGGGAGCCAGCAGTCATGATGACGCCAAATATAAACATATCCCCACACACACACCCCCCCCCGCCGGAGGACACATATATTAAATGCAGAATGTAAAATAAAATAAACCAGATATCTGAAAAAAAAATCTGATCACTTTTGAAAAGAACAGTCAGACGATTAGGTGGAGAAGCCCTCATGAAAGGAAATCTCTCCAAGTCATGCTCCCAGAGGGAAAACGTGGAACATCTTACTTACCACGTAGACAGTCTTGGAGAGGATGCTTCCTGGGTTTACCTGCCACCTCACGCATGTATTATTAAACACTGATACAGCACGGATTTCTGTAATTATTTCTGAAACAGAAAAAGAGAGTCCCTTCACAAAATGCCACCAGCGGCCTTTGGCATGACTTAGTTTCTCGGTGCTGCTCGTATCTCCGCTAATCACTGTTCAGAGGTCTGATTCAGACACCAAATCAGGCCATTCAAACTGCCCCAGGCCAAGCACCCCATTTATCTCCATCGAGAATGAGCCTGGCCCATTACCTCACTTGGATGAGAAGAAAAGCTAGGTACCCGCTTGAGAATGGCTAAGAACTCCAAGCTGTGATTGGCCTGGTAGGCCACTGGATGCCACTGGCGTTCCACTCCTGTGGGATGGAGAGAGGGCCTCCAGCTGCGCCCTGACTCCTCCGGGCAACTGCTCCGGAAAGAATTGTTTCCGGCTTCATCCCACCTGGCTGACAAAACACTCTTATTGCCAGGTCACTGCTGTCCCAAAAAGGGGCAGCAGTCCCCACACAGGGCCATTCTTTAGGAGCAGCTCGGAGTAATTGAAATAAATTCTCCATAACCTCCCCAGATATTTCTGGGGCTGCTCTAACTGAAGCCATTTAATTCTGACTTATCGGAAAGCCACTGGTATCTCCAAGTTGTCCGGCTTTTTAAAAATATTCTGTGTGGGGGCACCTGGGTGGCTCAGTGGGTTAAGCCTCTGCCTTCAGCTCAGGTCATGATCTTGGGGTCCTGGGATCGAGCCCTGCATCAGGCTCTCTGCTCAGCGGGGAGCCTGCTTCCCCCTACTTATCTGCCTACTTGTGATCTCCGTCTGTCAAATCAATAAATAAATCATATAATAAATAAATAAACAAATAAATACATATTCTGTGTGTATTTCATGTAATAACTTTGGCAAATTGGGAAACCGTATTAAGGCCTTGGTTCTGAGGTCACAGTTTCCAACGGACAGTATTGACTCTCTGTCCTTCCCGGCTCTACTCACAGGACCCCTTACCCCTGCTTTCTGGGATGTCATTCCCCATCATGTAATAAATGTAAGCCCTGTGCCTCAGGCTCTGTTTTCTGGGAAACCCAAGGTAAGATTCCCATCAAGAGGGTGAGGAAAAATAATTCTCCATCTCAGAAGATGGCTCCTTTCAGCTCTCCCTCTCAGTTCTCTCTCTTTGCCTCTCCCTTCCTCAGCCTCCAATATGGGAAAGAGAGCCTGCACATCGGGCACTGAGTACGGACTCATTTCCCTTGCAGCCAGAACTAATGCTACCGTTAGACAGACCCTGGTCTAATGATGATCTCTTTGCCATACAAGACTTTACATCTTTGGGTGGCTCAGCTGTTGGGCGACTGCCTTTGGCTCAGGTCATGATCCTGGAGTCCAGGGATCAGGTCCTGCACCCAGCTCCCTGCTCAGTGGGCAGTCTGCTTCTCCCTCTGAACCCCCCCCCTCTCAGGCTCTCTCTCTCGTTCTCTCTCTCTCTCTCTCTAATAAATAAATAAATAAAATATGTAAAGAAAAAAAGAGATTTTACATCTTTACTAAATCATCCATCAGCAGCATTACTGGGTCTTGGCTAAGCCTAGGTCGGGCTGTCAGTCAGTGAGAATAAATATAGGCAGACAGAGAAAACAGACCAATTCCTGAGAGACACCAGAGGATCACCTATGGCTATCTAAAGCATTCCCGGGTCTCTACATCAATAATTCTCCCAGAGCACAGGTAAAATGAAATCAAAGAAATACTCCAGTTGTGGACATGGTACCCCAACAGATGCAAAGATCCTATCTGTTCACCCCCTTGGGGAGCATGAAGATGATGCTGGTGTCAGTGTTGTATCAGCTTGAACAAGCCCCAAATACTCTGGCCCCTCCCTTCCCCATCACACTTCAAAGGTGTTAGAGCCCTGGACTCCTCTGCTCCCTCACACATCCCTCTGAAACTAACTCACCACCTGGTCCAGAAGGAAACGGAAAGAGACCCCCCTCACCTTGTCTCTGACTGCCAGTAAAGCAAATTTCCTTCTCACTGGGGACCCCTTTGCCACCCAAACAGAGATGAGAAAGGAGACATGAAAGTTTCTTTTCTTGTCCTTCCTTTTTGCTCATTCACTATGACAACAGCAAATGATATCTCAAAATTGCCATCTGCCTCCTGCCTGTGCCATGCTCTCTTGCACAGATGGGACCAAGATCTGATTACAGGGATGTCAGATAGCTCATCCCAAGGAGCAGTTTAACAAAATGCAGTTGCTTTCCCCTCCAGGTGTCTACAAATCAGCTGGAAAGATCTCTTTATAAACCCATCAGATAGTAAACATCACATAAATGCTGCTCCCTTAAAGAGATACCCTAATTCTAATAGTACTGATAACTGAACACATTTCTGGAAGTTCTCTTTGGAACTGACTCCAGGGCTCTTTCTGCACCACTCACTGAATGATTACCAAATGCCAAGCATCCTCCCATGCCAGGCACTGGGCTATGGCAATAATTAGAACAAAAGTCCTTCCCCCAGGAACATGTTGTCTAATGGAGGGAGCAAACATATAAGCAGAGAAATTAGAACCCGATAAATTGTAGAACAAAGTTACACACAAGTACCATGGGGTCTAGAGAAAGAAGCCACCCACCCTCACTGGAGGGTCTGGGGAAGCCGGCTTTGTGGAGGGCATGACCTTGATGGGTGAAAGGCTGAAGAGTGGGAGACACATCTAAGCAAACAGACAGCAGAGCTAATGCGTGGAACTGTAAGGGGCTGTGGCATATTCTGGGTGCTAAGAAGGAGACAAGACAGGATCAGACGGGGAACGACCCCACTTGCAACGCTAAGAGCAGACATATTCCTATAAGCAATGGGTAGCTAAAAGCAGGAACATAATGGTGCTTTTTTTTTTTTTTCCTTTAGAAAGATAACTCTGGCATTTTGCAAAGTAAACATTGGAGTAGAACTGGAGATCATAAGAACAGGATACTCTTTACCCAGCGACTATAAGATGCCAAACACTGATAGATCTTTAAAGATCAGATCCTACCTGAATTGCAGTCGTAAGAAGCAACAGCAAACATTTACTGAGTTATTATTATATACCCGATAATATGTATAGAACTTTAAAAGCGTCGCTTATTTAATCTTCAAAATAGCTCCAGGATAATAATTTCATAACATGTCATACCATCACACTGTGTGCCTTAAACTTATGCAGGAATGTATGTCATTATTTCTCAGTAAAACTGGGGGAAAGTATATTAAAAATTAATTTAAAATAAGCCCATGAGCTTGATATTATTATGTCCATTTTCTAGACCTGAGGCTTGGAGAAGTTACACAACCAGCCAAAGGTCATGCGGGTTGTAAGGTTACAACCAGTCAAGTCAGGATTCAGAACTAGGACTGCTGGACTCCAGGGCCAGGAGGGGCTGGGGGGCACTGTGGCGCGGTGTTCACAGGGAGGAGGAGAGGGGGCCTGGGGGCTGGGTATGAAAGCCATAAGACAACTCTAAAGGAGAAGCAGTAGAAGGTGAGTGATGGGGAACAGCCGGGAAGTTGGATGACTGCTAGCCTTTGAGCTTGAGAGTCCGAATGGATTGCCTTGTACTCTTGTCCTGAGAAACAGAGGAGGAAGCACCCTGGGTTGGGAGAAAAAGACCAACGGACTGTGTTTAGAACATGCTAGATAGGAGTTATCTACAGACTATCCAGGTGAAAAAATCATCTCCAAAGTCAGCAAGGTGTGGATGGTCGTTGATACTAAGTGTGGGGTAACATCCAGGGAGGATACGGAGAGCAGCCCAACGGCAGAACGTGGAAAACATGGACCCCAAGAGGAAACAGAGCAGAGGACACAGAGCAGAAACCCCAGAGGACACAGAGCAGCAGAGAGGCGGGGAGACTGACTGGAGGTGGGACACTTGGAGGTCAAGGAAAGGAGATGGGAAGGAGTGTCTGCTTCCTCCAAAGTTATCTCCCTTCCTTCCCACCAATTCCCCACAACCCCCTCACCTCTGACCCAAGAAGCACCAGGGAAAACCTCTACCTCTTTCTTCTTTCACATGGTTCCTGGTCCCCTGACAGCGCGCAAAGTGCCATGATGAGCTGTGAAGCTTGACTTCGGGTGGAGGTAGGGAGAGCAGGCCTGGATCTTGTCCAGTTACATATATGTATGTACGTGTATGTATCTATGTATGTATTTTAGTATTCTACTAGCACCCAGCATTTATTTCTCTGCAGTACTTATCACATCTACAACTGAATAATTCTGTAATTGGTTACTCAGTGTCTGTCTCTCCTGCATGTAAGCTCTATGACAGCAAAGACCAGGCTTATCTTTCTACCCCCAGAACCTAAGAGAGTACCTTAGATACTTGTTTTAATATTTATTATTTGGTTGATTGGCTGAATGGAAGGATGAATGTATGGATAGGTAATCAACAATAGTAAATGTTGTGGGAAGGTTAAGAGGACTGAGGAGTGAAACTAGAACAGGAAGTTGACAGGTGGTCACTAGAGAGCTTGGGGAGAGAGCTACAGTGGAGTGAAGGCTCTGGGTGGCTGACTGTAGGCTGGGAAGAGAAGCAGGGAGGAGGGAGACAGAGGCAGTGGGCATATACCACACTTAGGAGTCCCACTGTGGACAGGGACTGACTCAGCAGACTCTTGGTTTCCAACTTTATAACCTTCTCAAAAAACTTATATATAACCTATAACCCTCTCTATTTTTGGAAACAGTAAAAGATCATTGAGAATAAGTTCAGGTGATCCAAGCAGATAGTCAAGCTCAGTGTTATTTCTCGTCAAAAACAGTACCTGATTTCCAAATTACTGATCATCTACTATGATTCACAAACTACTTCCAAAGGCAATTCCCAAACACAGATTACAAAACAGATACATTTTGATAATGGCAGCACCCCTGAAATCGAAGTGACTACTTTGAATAAGTGTATGCTTGGCCATAAGAGTTCTACTATCTGTCCTTTCCCGTTTTTCAGTCTTCAGAGTCACGTACAGTAGGTAGAAGTAGCAGGACTTAGAGGAACGCTTTCCTAAAATGCATTATACACCTTAGGATGACTTTCTTGTGGCCCATGAATAAAGTGATGTATGTTTGCTTATACTGACTTTTGTGTATATTAGAAAAAATACACACAGTTCATCCAAATTGTAATATCACATACCCTACAAAGTGTCTTTGATCAATACATTTAAATTATGATTTGAAATTTAAAATATAAGGTTTTTAAAGAAACCTATTAAAAAAAAAATAATGCTTTCGTTACAGCAAAATCATCAGGGTGTAACACATGACTCAAGCTTGGGAAACACTGGTAGGACAGAGATTGTGGGCTTTCCAGGTGTCCAGACTGAAGTTCAAGTCCCACCTCTGCCATTTACTAGTTACTGAAGGACCCTGTGAATGTTGCCTAACTTCTACGAGTCCCAGATTACTCACCTATGAAATGAAAAATACCAATACTTATTTTACAGGGTTTCCCTGAGGACAAAATGAAACGAAGCACGAAGACCCCTAGCAGAGCCCTGGGCATGCAAGTTGGTACCCAGCCAAAGGTAGCTATCATGCTTGACAGTCCAAACATTATACACATATTCAAACAAATCCCAGCCATGTGGCTATTTATATCAATGTGTCCATTTATTCCAGCTGACCTTTGTTTTCCATCTGAATTGCATTACCACTGCAAGTGAGCAGTCACTAGGCTGAAAAGGAAGATCAACAACACAACTGAGGGGCAGAGGCTAACGGGAGGCCTGGAGGCACTTGGACTCAGGACCTGAGTTGGGTTGGAGGGGGGGGGCTCAGAAAGCATCACAGCCAATACACAGTCTGTGTTTCCATAGTGATGTTACCCTTCTAAGAGCGCAGCTTGACTGAGCGTCAACCTTATAATTATTAACTCAGATTCTAAACAGGAGAAGCCAAACGACCCGAGCAGAAGGAAAGCCAGGGACAGTCTTATCAAGAATGAATCAGCCTCTTTGATCTTGAGGTAAACCAACCCACTAAACATCAAGCTTCCACCTGGGGTTTTTCCAGACACTAAAATGGTTTCCTAATTGTCAGCTGTCTGGAGGTTCCAGTTCAAACTGGCCTTAAAGAAAAAGAAGGGGAAAAAAAAAATAGTCCCACCACTTTGCCAGCGTTCACACTCCATTAAAAACATACACAGATCCATGCTGCTCATCCAAAGAGGCAAGGCCTCCGAAAATATTTTTAACTAAAAACAACCCAGGTGAAGTGAAGACAGATTATTCCACCGAATTTGGAACTCAACACTCAAGTATAAAGAGAGGGGTAAACAGAATGAAAACAGAGAGCAGAGGTAGAAGGCATTCAGAGGCTAGGCAGAGAAGCAGGCGATGGGAGGAAAATCCAGAAGGACATCAAAGAAGGTGAACACAAAGTACACAGAGGGAGCTGGTGCAGGAGAGGCGTGCAGAAATGGATGAAAAACAGAGACGAGTCAGAAGAGGATTCAGCTGGGCAAGAGCCGTGGAAATCAGCATCTCGCGCTACATTTCCAGAAGCCTCTCCCCTACCTACCCACCCAGACCGTGTGCGCGGCACCGTGAATTAATCAGCACGTAAATCACTGCCTTTATCTGTGGAAATTGAATTTAGCTGCCAATCTTGATTGGGGGCATAGAGGCCTCCTCCCAGAAAGATCCCAGCTCTCAGGGAAAATGCCTTTTCTCTCCTTAAATCAAAGCTTGCATAAACCCAGGGAAACAGCTGCCGCTGGAGCCACAGACTTTGTGAAAGGTGGCAGGCTGAGGACGGTAATTATAATTAGCAGTTACATAATGTGTTTGTTCTTCAAAGTGCTCTACAAGCATCAGCTAATTAATAGCTTACTATGCCCCATGCGGATCCACTGGTTTTTCATGTAGTGACTAATCCCTGTACCCCCACTGAACTCTGAACGGGGGAGGCAGAGCCGCCTGAGCCACGAAGCCAACGGCAGAGAGTCCAGAAGCTATGCCCGGCTCTCTAATCAAGGGACTCCATAGGGATCTCAGGGCCAGGAACACTTCCCCCAAATGTTTAACTCGGCATCCCATGAGACAGCTGCCTCATTGCCTCCAAACAATTCTTAGAAGCGCTACTGAGATACACTAATAGAGTGGAATGGCCATCAGTCTGGTCCAATATGGCATGAGCTCCTCTCAATTTCCCTAATGAGACTGGGACTCTGGAGTCCTTGGTTAGTTACAGGACTGCCCTCGCTTCTCTCTGCAGGTAGGGTTAAGTCAACGAGAACTCCCTAAGAACAGGTTGAACTTGATCACTGGGTTCCCACCCACGTCTACCCTTCTTTGTTTCTATGCTCACAGTCTCTGGCCTACATCCTCTTCCGTCTGAGGCAGAGACGACCCAAGGTGGGAACTGCATGGCATAGATGCCTCCAGTAGCAGCACTGAATTCTTCACCTGTTTCAGGGAAGTCCATGAACATCCTGAGTCTGTAAGACATTTCACATATGTGCATTTCTTTGGAGATAAGTCTGTTTACCCTGTTGCCCCATACATTCCAAGAAGGTAGTGTCCAGCAAAGTACCTCAACCATAGTGTATGCTAAATGGATACTTATTAAATCAATTTGATAGATTTCACCAAATTCCTATGCCCCGCATGGTTAGGAACCGTTGCTCCATGGATAAATAATCACTAGCAGTCCCCATGTTTCACTTGCTCTGGCTAGACTTTCCTATGGAAAGCTCTGACCGGCAAGACCCAAGACATGCTACCACAGTTTTGCTGCAGGTCAAACCAGAGACCCAGCCCAAAGCTACCTTGAGATTTCACTCTTCAGAGATCTGTCACTAGAGCCAAGCACGTCAACATCTAGAAACACATTCCTCAGAGCAACCGTTTGTCACACCCCGTGCCTAACCCTCACAAACAGAGTCACTGCCTTCTCCCACCTTGTCTCTTGGAAGCAGTGCTATGAACTGAAACATGAGGAAGTGCTTACTTGTGACTCATGAGAAGACCTTCTTCAAGACAGGCCAATAATTTCAGTAAAAGACCTAACAGGTACAAGGTGCTTTAGACTTTTCAAAGTGTTCCCCATAAATGGTCTCATTCGATTCCCTCCCAATAACTCTTGAAATAGGAAAAGGAGACTTTATTTTCCCCCTCTTATAGACAAAGAAACCAAGGATCTGAGCAAATCACACCTTACCCGATGACACACAGCCCACAGATGACACTGCCGGACTTTGAACTGATATCTCAGAACCCCTTTTCACCAGGAGCCCCATTTGGGGCATATACCCAAAAGCAATGAAAGCAGGCTCTCAAAGAGATATCTGCATGCCCATCCTCACACCAGCACTGTTCACAATGGCCGGAAGGTGGACGCAACACAAGTGTCCGTCAGTGATGAATGGATCAACAAAATGTGGCAAATACACACGACGGAACGTTATTCAGCCTTTAAAAAGAAGGAAACCCCGCCATTTGCAAAATCACGGATGAACCTGCAGAACATCATGCTAAGGGAAATAAGCCAGTGACAGAAGGACAAACGCTGCCTGATTCTACTTATATGAGGTATCTAAATTCGTCAAATCCACAGAAAAGTAAAATGGTGGTGCCATAGGGAGGAGGAAGTGGGGAGTTACTGGTTAATGGGTATCGAGTTTCAGTTTTGCAATATGAAAAGAGTCTGGAGATGGGTTTCCCAACAGCGTGAATACACTTGATACTTTAAAATGGTTAAGGCGGTAGACTTCATGTTGTGTGTGTTTGACCACAATTAAAAATTTAAAAACAAACATTAAAAAACCTCTTTACCCATTACACCACCTTTTCTTTGAAAAGCTGCCAACATGGGCTAAGTTGGACTTTCCAGTATGCTCCCGGAGAAAACGGTTCATGGAGAAACATTTCTCAGCCAGCCACATAGAGGAGACGGGAATCACTGTGATTTCAGGTGAGTTGCAGAAGACGATGCCCAAGTTTATTTTTCCAATCCACCCTCTAAATCTTCAGGATTCAGCCAACACACCTAAAGCCAAGTGCTCACTCAGGTAAATGCCACAGCCAGGCACAGTACACAGAGGAAGCGGTGGGACAGCTGGCGGTCCCCAGCTCCTATGGGCTGTTTGCTTCCAGGAAACAGAAGCCCCACAGAACAGAAGTCTATACCTGTGCATGTCAAAGCACTTTTCCTCCAAGTGCCTTTCTCTGTGCAGACAGAAGTGATCTTTCCCCCAGCGCTCTCAAAGCCCTCTTGACAGACATAGTGAGCCACACTGCCCGGGCTGGAGCTGTGATTCCCCACCAGCACTGCATGGCGCACTTCAGGAGGACGGCCGCACTTGACCTCTGCAAAGGGAAGAAGCACAGCACTAGTTAGACCCCCAGCTTCTAGCCCTATAGTTCACATTTTAGGAAAAAAACATTTTGCCGCAATAGAGCCCCCTCATATGTGAAAGAGAAAACATGAACCCCATCAAATAATCCAGCTGCAGATACAGAAGATTGTTCGGGGGATGCCTGGGTGGCTCAGTTGGTTAAGCAACTGCCTTCGGCTCAGGTCATAATCCTGGAGTCCCGGGATCGAGTCCCACATCGGGCTCACTGCTTGTCAGGGAGTCTGCTTCTCCCTCTGACCCTCCCCCTTCTCATGCTCTCTCTCTCATTCTCTCTCTCTCAAACAAATAAAGTCTTTAAAAAAAAAAAAAAAAAGAAGATTGTTCGGAAGTAGAAAAAATAGACATGCCCCAATTCAGTGAAACTTACAAACGTGTACACGTAGAAAATATTCCAATTGTAAGATTATTTACGTTACGGAGAATTCTTTGGTCAATGAAACAATCCATCTGAGGTTCTTTTAAATATTAAGATTTTCAGGTAATTTTTCCTATGTATCATGAGATCACAAACTCCTAAGTAGATGATAACATAATTATTGTTTTGTTGCCAACTGATTATTGAATGAAATAGATACAAAATCTTTGAACTTTTAAAGCAAATTAATAGGGAAAGTATATATATATATAGTCTAAACATTCACTTTATGTTTCTATAAAGGAAAAAAATCAGCTGCATAGAAGGAGACAAGCCTAGAATTATAAAACTGATTTGAAATTTCTTCTCTGCAGCTCTACTAGAGCACACTTGAATATTTACAGAAACTATCTAAAAGAAATGGATTATGATGCTACCATTTCAGACTCAGCCAAACTTTACTTCATGTAAGAATAGAAGAAAGTCATCTTCAAATATTTTGCAATTTTTGAAAATCCACACGTTTATCTTTTCTGTTAAAAAAAAAAAAAAAAAAAGGACTCCTGGGTGGCTCAGTTCGTTGAGCAGCTGCCTTCAGCTCAGGTCATGATCCCGGTGTCCTGGGATCGAGTCCCACATCGGGCTCCTTGCTTGGCAGGGAGCCTGCTTCTCCCTCTGCCTCTGCCTGCCACTCTGTCTGCCTGTGCTCACTCTAGCTCCTCTCTCTCTCACAAATAAATAAATAAAATCTTTAAAAAAAAAAAAAGCAAAAAACCTCCAGCCCAACAACAACAATAAAATGAACCAGAATTAATATCCTAAAAGAAGGGGAGGGCAGGTTTTAGAAGAAACACTAGCAAGCAATGAAATGTAAATGATGTGTAGGTTAAGTTTCCATAATCATTTAAATGTGACTGGTGGGACGCCTGGGTGGCTCAGTCAGTTAAGCGTCTGCCTTAGGCTCAGGTCATAATCCCAGGGTTCTCAGATCGAGTCCTGTATCAGGCTCCTTGCTCAGTGGGGAGCCTGCTTCTCCCTCTGCCTGCCACTCCCCTGCTTGTGTTCTCTCTTCCTGACAAAATTTTAAAAAATTTTTAAAATGTGGCTGCAGAGCTTGATATAACTAGGAGTAAAGGATTCTACAATAAAAAGTTGAACAGTGTAAAAAAGGAATAATTTGAAAATAAAATTTCAAATTATTTCAAAAACTCTGAGCAATGAGGCAAAGGGAAGAAAGGAACATGCCAAATTCCTCACGAAGTCGTGGGAAGTTCATACACACAATTTTATTCAAGAAAGCATAATAAATCTAAAATAAGGAGGCCATAGTCATTGCAAATACAGCCAAGAGTCCCAGTTATACCCAAATACAGAGAAAAATATATATATAATTTCTGCTGTTCACTCTAATGTTTAGTTTTCTCCCCAGTCAATAGAAAGCCAAGAAAATCACACAGTCTTGACATGCAGGCTTTTCAAATATAAGGGTAAAGTGCCTCTGACCCTTGGTGCCAGCTCAGGTCCTGATCTCAGGGTCTTGATATCAAGCCCTGTGTTGGAGTCTGCTTGAATTTCTCCCACCCTCCGCCCCTTCTGCTTGTGCTCTTTCTCTCTTTCAAATAAATAAATCTTTAAAAGAAAATAAAATGTGGGCGCCTGGGTGGCTCAGTGGTTGAATCCTCTGCCTTCAGCTCAGGTCATGATCTCAGGGTCCTGGGATCAAGTCCCGCATCGGGCTCTCTGCTCAGCAGGGAGCCTGCTTCCTCCTCCTCTCTCTCTCTGCCTGCCTCTCTGCCTACTTGTGATCTGTCTGTCAAATAAATGGGAAAAAAAAATCTTTAAAAAAAAATGTAAGTGCATTTATTGAGACAAAGAACTCAAGATAGAGAAAATGGTATGATCTGTTCCCAACTCCCCAACAACCATTCTTGGCCTTAGAAACAGGTAGCTTCACTTAAATGAGCTTCTGATACAGAACTGGTGGATTTAATGGGACTGCACATGGCTCTGCCCCACTGTGGATGTTTGGTTTGTTGTAGAACCCCAGAGTTCTTTCCCAGAGCAGGCTTTCATCTGTTGAATTGAAGTTTTCATGAGAACATCAATATAACAGCTCAACCCACCCGGCCCAGTCTCCTGGGTCTGTGATTTTTATTTTTTTTTTTTTTGAAAGATTTTTACTGATTTGTTTGATGGAGAGAAAGAACACAAGCAGGGGGAGAAGCAGAGAGAGAGGGAGAAGCAGGCTCTCCACTAAGCAGGGAGCCTGACGTGGGGCTTGATCCCAGGACCCTTGAGATCATGACCTGAGCCAAAGGCAGACACTTAACCAACTGAGCCACCCAGGCGCCCGGGCTCTGGGATTTTAAAAGAAGAGTTAGTCTCTGGTCAGTGTAGATTCACATCATCAGAGTTATGGGACCAGAACAAGATGGTCATTTCATAAATCCTCCAACCCTGCCCACCTCAAAAGTCCCATACTTGCGCATAGGGATTTATTCCCTTTTCATACATGTTTACCAGACACAAGGCTTCTTAGCCCTCATCATGTTTTTCCCAGCACCAAACCTTTAGACGTATCAACCGGCCCAAAACAAGACGTGAGTATATTTGTGTGTACCTGGGCAACCAACCGAACAGGTGGTTAATGTTTCATAAGGCTGCCCAGTCACTGTTGACATCTAAAATATCTTCTAGTTAAAACCAGGGTTTAGCTATAGCAGGAAATAGAGGGAACAGCAGTGAAGAGATTGAGTGTAAGGGTTTATGTAGGTTTATGGACCTTGAAGCTGGAATTCTAAACAGCACATTGGAGAGGTTTGGGAAGGAACCTAGTGATAGATCATTGGGTTAAGAGAGAAGCACAGATTCTAAACGTATAAGAGTACAGAAGATACCTATGTTGGCTTCCAACTTTGGACGTGACTAAGAATAGTGGAAGGCATGTAAAAATATAAGATTTTTAAAAATTCATACCAAAAATATTAATTTGGGAGTTGATGAGAGATCAGTAGCTCAGTCTCTGGGGACTATAGTTCAGAGACTCAGGGAGTTGTCCAGTGGTGGGCAACCATGACTTGGTGAGTTCCCGTACCATAGCTACTCAAGATGGATAGTCCCTTGGTGAGAGATAGAGTGGATTCTAGCATGACTTGGATTAAACACATGGTTCTAAACAGCAGTTGTACATCTGAACTGCCTAGGGAACTTGGAAAGCACAGCCTCCCCTTACCCAGAGATAAGTCTTCCGAATCAGTAGCACGGAGTTGGGTTCTTGGCATCCACATTTCTACAAGCTTCCAAGTTTGAGTTTTATGCACACGCTCAGCTCAGAACCTAAATTAAATACTAGTAGGAATAGCTACCATTTATCATCACATGCTTGAGGGCTTAATGTCTTTCTCTGAAAATATTATGTCTTCCCAAATATATGGTCAGTCTGGAAAGAACAGAATCTTTATTTGATCATCTCCTGCATTCCCACAAAGCCTACTTAAAATAATACATTTTGCATAGTAAATACAATAAATAATTGTTCATCGATAGCTTGCCACTACTTTATCATTGTTTGAGATGTAACAAATGTTCCTTTGATATGAGTAACAGCCCCTGAGGAAAGAAAGAGGCATCAGGAAATTGTAAGTATAAATAACAAGACAGGTACACATTACCTTTACATTTGTTATCCAACAGAGGGAACTCACACCTACCATATGCCATGTAGATGAAAGTGGAATAAAAGACTCATAAAAACTAGTATCAGTGTTGTACCAGGGAATTCTGGGAATGTTGCTCAAACCTCAATCATTTTATTTTATTTTTTTAAGATTTATTTATTTATGGGGGAGCCAGGTGGTGGGTATTATGGAGGACACATACGGCATGGAGCACTGGGTGTGGTGCATAAACAATGAATTCTGTTACGCTGAAAAGAAATTAATTTTTTTAAAAAGATTTATTTATTTATTTATTTATTTGACATACAGAGATTACAAGTAGGCAGAGAGGCAGACAGTGAGAGAGGAAGAAGCAGGCTCCCCACTGAGCAGAGAGCCCGATGTGGAGCTCGATCCCAGGACCCTGAGATCATGACCTGAGCCAAAGGCATAGGCTTTAACCCACTGAGCCACCCAGGCACCCCGAACCTCAATCATTTTAATCATAATAGCATTCATCAAAGTCCTACTAAACATGTCTATTAAATATATACTATCTCATTTATTCATCAAAGAAAACCTTGCAAGGTACATGGTTTCTTCCTCACAAAGTTTAAAGATATGAATATGGAGCTTAAGAGCCCCTCAGAGCTCCTAAGAGCTTAAGTCATGTTCCAAAGTCCACCACCAATAGAAGACAGAGCCAGTACTCAAGCCATGGGATGTATGACCCCAAAGTCCAGGTCCATTAAATCTAGGGAGCCTCACAGTGAAGGGGTCAAGTCTAGGCCCTGAATAGGACTGAGCTGAGAAGTTAGCTAAAATCTCAGGAGAAAAGGTTGCATAATGAAGCATTCAAATCAGATGGAAGAGTTCTTAAACTCCCTCTTCCAAATCTTGTCTCCCACAGCTTTCCCAGAGCAAGATAGCTGCTGGAAA